AGGAGCGCAGTACACAATCTGGGGAACCAAGCCTTAGTTCTTACCAAGCTGAACCTGATAGAACAAAAACAACAACAATAACTTGCATTTATATAGCGTCCTTCAAGCAGGGTAGCATTTTATAGTGCTTCCCAGTGGTGGAATTTGATACTAAGCCAGGTAGAGAGTGTGGTGAGCATAGGCATGATTTCTTTAAGTGTAATTTAACTGTATAGCACAGAAGAAGGCCGTTCAAGTCATCGTGTCTATGCTGGCTCTTTGAAAGAGCAATCCATTCAGTCCCATTTACCTATCTTTTCTCCATACCTCTGCAAATTATTGGCTTATGGCTCAAAGGTTTTACATTATTGGAATATGTCTTGCTAAGTAAGTTGAATGTTTCTGCCTAATAAGGAACATTCCTTTTCAAATAAGTGGCATTCATTTACTGCTGTTTAACCACCTCATGGTTAAATCCAGATTAGTGGTCAGATTGTTAAAAACACATCTACCATTTCTCCAATACTTCTCCAATGTGAAACTTGCCATACTGATCAAGGAGGTTCCCAGAGTTGATACCCTGCCTATGTTGGCTTCAGGCGAGTTGCTGGGAACAACTAGCATCTGTGCTCTTGGGCTAAGAGGGGGGAAGTAACAGCTGGATTTTCTGCTTCTGATTGTTATATCAATGCCCAAAAAGACGTGTGTGTGTGAGAGAACACCAAGGGAAAGAATATCAGGATCAGTCACAAAACTGCTTACATGCGACGAATGGCTACTTGAACTACATATTGAAGGGAAATCCATGGCAGGGGATCTGTACCCTAGCAAAGAGTCACTGAGGAAGTGTGAGAGGTATGGAAAATAAAACAAAAAAAGGATACTTACAAGCTGAAGTGCTATTTTCAGATTAGTGTTAAGTCTGAAAAATCCTTCCTACATCTTTCATGGCTAGAAGCATAACTTTTTATAACTGGGAGGTGCATTCCAGTGCTTCGCATGGAAGATTAGCAGTCAGGTTGTTGTTGTAAGCAGATGGGAGTAACTTCATTACCTCATGTCACGGCTGCTGGTAAGGGTAGGCAGTGGCAGCATGCTGTTGGATGGACAAGCAACCCGGTGCTACAACCCTGCAGAGCTGCTCGCCAGATGTTGAAAGGGTTGCATGGTTTGTCAGCTTCTTCTCCCTCCCTCAAAGGGAATGTTATTTTCTCAATCTAGCCACTTCCATTCATAGACATTTACAGCACAGTAGGAGGCCATTCAGCCCACTGTGGAAAATTGGCAGCTGCATTTTGCCACAAAGCACACAGTTACTACACTTTACAGTGTATCCTGTGAAGCACTTTGAGATATCTCGATGACTAGATAAGGCGCTATATCAAATGCAAGGATCATTATTATCAGATCATGTATAACAATAATAATAATCCTTTCATTTGATATAATGCCTTTCATGTTGGGAGGATATCTTAAAATACTTCACATGATTTACTGTAAAGATTTACTGTTACTGTGTATTTGTAGGCAAACTCAACCACCAATTGGCACAGCAAAATCCCACAAACAGCCATGAAGTGAATGATCAATTTTATCTGGGGGGGTTGTTGGCCAGGATGCTGGGAGAAACTCTCTTCTCCTTTCAACTAGTGCCATGGAATCTTTAATGTTCGCTTGAACAGGCGGTTGGGACCTTGGTTTAACTTTGTATCTGAAGAGCAGGCCAAGAACATAGGCCAGATGCAGCGTAAAGCTACCTAATTACTGACATTTCTCATTTCCACACCAATACAGCCATGGCAAGAGACAACAATCTAACCCTTGGCAAGATCATCTTTGCAACATCTTTTGAACATTGATGTGGAAACAATCTAGGCAGCAAACCGGTCATGGGATAAAGTCATTCAATATGTCTACCACTGTATAATCAGCTTTTAAGTATATCAGGGAGGTAGATAAATGTTTGAAAAGGAGAAATAGCAGAAATGTGCGGGGAAAAGGCAAGAGAATGGGAACAAGCGCTCTGCGACGCTACCCTGTGTGAGGGGCATTCTGTAAATGCAAGTTGCTGTTTTCAGTGATTCGGCACAAGGACTATGACTAAGCCTTACATTTTGTATAGTGCCTTTTATGTTGGAGGAGTTCCAAAGCGCTTCACAGAATATATTGTAAAATGCAGTAACTGAGTATTTTTGTGGGCAAAATATGGGCTATGGGTTGAATGACCTCCGTTTACGTTGCAAATTCCAATGGTTTTAAAATCATGTGATACAGGAATATGGCTTAACATTTATTCCATCTAATTATTTTCACTGTTGCTTAAAGAATGTACAAACCTGATTCACAAATCACCCACAGCAACAAATTGAAGGATTATACAGTAAAATTGTCTTCGCCAGATTTACTCAGTGTGTTGTTTCTTTTCTTTCGAGGGTGGTGGTGGGCTAAGGGCTCACATTTATGGACAGATAATGAAGAGGTTTTATTTTACACCAGAAAGTAAACTTCGAGCAGGCAGAGAACACATTGTCTTGTACACAGATTAATCTGCTTTTCCATTGCCTGTTTGTACTTAAACTGGGGACCTAATATAGTCCTGCGGTCGGTATCAACTGATACCCACATGGATGGACACTTCTCCTCCAGAGCAGTTATTAAGTAGCAGTTTCTATTTCAACCCAAACTTCTTCAAGATAGGATCCCCCCATATATTACTGTCTGATATGGTGTATTCTGGCCAAAGCAATCCGTGTCCTGATGCCTTTAGGGCATCAAGGAGCCAAGTGGGCTGCAGGTGGGGAGAGAGCGAGACATGTTCTTGTTCCTGGCTCGGCTTCGCTCAGCCAAGTGCCTGATTTCGGAGAATAAAAGCTTTTTGAGGGACAAATGAGGGGGAGGGGAAAAAAAGCCGCACACGCTTGTTTCTGGGAGAACATTAAAACGTGCAGTAAATCGGATCCCGTGACCTGTTGCCCCTTTTGCAAAGATCCCCGTGTTAATCGGCGAGCGCTTTAACGCGCATTTTAAAGCGACAGTTTCCAACACACACGAAATGTTCCTTTCTGAAACGTTAAGTGCCGTGTGTTATATATATATAATATATATAATATATATAATATATTGTCTGAGAAGCATCACATGAAAAGTATCTCGTTTTCCTTTCCAGATGAACCGAAAAACCTCCCAACTAGCTGCAAAGTTGAAAGGAACACTTCGCTGTATCCACGTTAGTCTCTTTATGTTTATTTTCCATTGGGGATTTGCATCGAAATCCTCCATTCAAGTTGAGCGCTGTATTAGACATCTCTAATAGTGCTTTAAAAGTATTCGCAGCTGTTCAGAATTTGATAGTGTCGTGCTTCGTTTGCAGATGTCTGAATGTGGGTTGTTTTTTTTGCAAAAAAAAAACCGAAAAAAAAACCTGCCCAAGAGGAACAAGTTGAGATTTGTAAGATTTCCCTTTTTTTTTGCACGTGGGAAATATGACTTTTCTTGTTGCAATTGTATGGCACGGAGTGTTAGGATGGATGCAGTTTGGTGACAGCATTTCGAGACTGGTTGGGAAACTTATTCACTTTGTGTTTTAAGATCAGTTGCGTTGAGAGAGAGAAAGACAGAGAGAGAGAAAGAGAGAGAAAGGGGGAAAAAGAAAAAAAAAAGTGCTCCTGGGGCACTGGATTGTTAAGTTATGGCATTTTTTTTAATTAAAAAAAAAGGGATAAGCGTTGAGTTTGTGACATTGCTAAAGGTGAGTGAGTGAGTGAGTGAGTATTATTGTGCTTTAAACCAGTCCAGTAACCCCCACACCTTTTACCCCAAACCCTGGGATTGCAACAAATCTACATTTTGCAATGATTTATTTCAGTCAGAGAGAGAGACACACACACACACACACACACACAGAGAGAGAGAGAGAGAGAGTCATTGCAACTTCAATCTGCTTTGCGAGGGGTCATTCTGGTGGGATTGCTGGTGGGGTTTTGGGGGGTAAGTTGTGTGTGTGTGTGTGTGTGTGTGTGGAGGAGGGGGAGAGAAATTGTTCCCAGGTTCGAGAGAGTGACAGCGCCTGGGGGAGCCCTGGGTGCATTGTGAGGGATCGATTCCAATCTCTCCTCTGCATATATATATCTATCTCTCTCTCTCTCTTTTTCTATATATATATATATATACACAAATGGTTTCTGTGTGTCAATTGCAGTGCAAAAAAAAATGGGAGTTTCAGCCCCAAAAATCCATCCCGCAAAAGCCTCTCTGTGCCCTGACGTCATGTCTGCCTGAGATTGGCCGCTGAGCTGAGCGGTGGCGCACACCCTCTCCGCAAACTTTTTTAAGACTCAATATCAGTTCAAACTCAAATATATCACAGCCGGAGCGACACCACCAAACATCTGCCGCCGACTGCCCCCCCCCACCACCACCACACACACACCCCTCACCCCTCACACACCCACCACACACACACCCCTCACCCCTCACCCCTCACACACACCCCTCACACACACACCCCTCTCACTCACACACACACCCCTCACTCACACACCCCTCTCACTCACACACCCCTCTCACTCACACACCCCTCACACTCACACACCCCTCTCACTCACATCTTATTTAGTTAAGTGCTCTCCGGGATCCCCACTGTGTGCTCTTCGCTCTCTGACAGCGCTCACACTCACTCACTCACTCACCCACTCACTCACTCTCTCTCTCTCTCACTCTCTTTCTTTCTCTCTTTCTTTTCTTCTTTTTTCTCTCTCCCTCTCCCCGTCTCTCTCTCTCTCTCTCTCTCTCTCTCCCCCTCAAACAGTCATCTGTTCCCGGAGAACACGTCCCGGTGAGGAGAGGGGACACACCACGAGCCGCCGCCTCCCGGATCAGAAGGAGAGAGAGAGGAGAGGAGAGGAGAGAGAGGAGAGGAGAGGAGAAGGGGGTACACACACACACACACACACAGAGAGATCACCAGTCACAGTCACACCCACAGTGAGTGCGGGAGGAGAGTGCCCCCGGGGGTGGGTGGTGGGTGGGTGGGTGGTGTGTGTGGAGGTTGGCAATGGAGTGGATGGGGTACGCGGTGCTGCTGCTCTGTTTGCTGTCGCTCTTGCAGCCGCCATGTGCCGGGTCGGACCGGGTCAGGGGCAGCCCGAGGAGGATCACCTACGTGCTGCAGCCCGGCACGGCTCGCTCCTCCGGCGGCCACGGGAGCCCCCTGTCCCGGGCTGCGGGGGCCACCAGGCGCGGCGCGTCCACCTTCTCCTCCTCCTCCTCCTCTGTGGTGAGGTCTCCGGTGCTGCAGCTGAAGGCGAGTTACCGAGTGCCGCAGGTCAGGACCAGGCGGATGGGCAAAGCGACCTCCCACGTGCAACTGCACCAACGCCAGTACTTCCAGCACCAGCTCCTCCAGCCCCAGAAATACTCCCACCAGCAGCCCAGCAGACACAGGGCACAGTACTATCAAAAGCAACAACTCACCGGGTAAGACCACCACCCAACCCACCACCACCACCCACCACCACCACACGCCTCTCCCCCCCCCCCCCTACAACTTGCACCTGGTACGAAAAGCCACTCTACTGTTAACCTTCTCGCCCACCAAATCAGACAGTCCATGCACTGGGCAGTGTGATCCTGCCAAGCGCCTTAAGACGCCTCGCGGGCACGGCGAGACGCTCCGGGGAACGCAAGAGTCGTCACCGTTAACCCACGGACGCCTCAGCGCACCGATAGCGTCGCTGAGATAACGGCCGCGGTTCACGCACCGATAGCTTCTTTTTTTTTAATCGATGGCCATTTTACACTTTGTGGATGGATTGTTACAGCATAAAATGAACATTTACCCCGCGTATACGCTAACGTTATCCGGTATCAATTATTGGACATTTGCAGCTTTTTAGGTGTCGCTTGTTACTTTATAGTTTAAATATGTCCAATTGCCAAATGGTATAATTAAATCATAATCACAAAAATCAAGTAGATTATCTTTTGGTATAAAATCTAATCGTAGAGCTCTATTCCAAGTGGACTCTTTTTGCCGTGCACAACTTCTAACTCTACAATCTTTTGTTCAGGCACCATTTACCTATTGACAATAGGCTATTGCACATAATAGGGTCAGTGCTGACAGCATCACATGCTTAAAGTACCTTCAGTGCAAAATGCACCTTACGTTTGTTCCAGAAATACCAAAAACCATTGCTAACTTTGTCACAGGGAATTTGAGTTTGCCTTTAAGATGTATGATTTAACCAACAGCATGTTTATTTGAAAAGCTTAAAATGTAGCCGTATGCCTGGTATAAGTTATGAATGTCTTTGCACTTTTTCATGGGGGGGGGTTTAATTTTTGTGTAACACTTGTGAGAGCTACTTTACAACAACAAAATGACATTTGCATAGCGCCGTTCCGTGGGAAGCGGTTTGACCATAGATGCCCTGTTGTGAGGATGCAGATGGCGGTTGGAGGTATGGCTGGCTGAGTGCAGGCGCTGGGGAGCAAGTGGAATCCTCACCCTGGCCCCTCACTGCGCTGTTTCCCCTTGGCTCAAATACACCCCCCACCTTTTATTTAACGTTTTATTTACCTGTTTTGCCCCGCTGTTTAAGTCCGTGACAATACGTTTTTTTTTGCTCAGCTGGGTGTCTGATACATATGGAAACCCATCACCATGCTTAAGAGTATCCAAACCAAACTGAGAATTCCATGCACCCACCTCCATGTGGAAATTCCAGAGATAGATTTACACTAAATTGTCACCGAAGCTTGAGAGCAGGTGGAGCTGACTGAATAAACAACAACAACTTGCATCTATATAGTGCCTCTCACACTGGGTAGCGTCCCGGAGCGCTAAAAGTCTTTCACACCCTTTTAGCGGGTTTCTTTACTTATTTCTTATATTTTGTGTAATTGATAAGGTAAACATTTAACAACTTGACTGTTTCTGCATCCCTCTCCCCTGGGTCCTGAGTCTGTAAAGCCCTATCTCTGTAATAAAAGTGCTAAACTCGTGATTTGCAGGGTCAATGTTTGCGGAGGTCAGTGCTGTCACGGTTGGACTAAAGCTCCCGGCTCGCATAGATGTACTAAACGTGAGTTATTTTGCATGTATTTCAAACTCTCTTATCTATCTACCTGTCTTCTTTTTCATCCTGGGAGGGGTTCAAGCTGACTTGTTTTTATTCCACTGAGAAAGAGGGTGCAGCCTTTCCCCAACTCACTCTGCTGTGCCAATGACAATTGCTGCTAATGGGAACTAGTCACTGTTTATTGCCTGTGTGTATTTCCTTATTATTGCTGCCCAGAGATCAGTAGCATTGAGGCTTTGACTTCTCCTAGGAAATTGTCAGCAACTTTAAAGGAGTTCTTTTTTATTCTCAGTTGCAGTTCTGGGCGGCACAATCAATGCTGCTCCAAGAAACAGATAGGCAAGACAGTTTGAGGAGAGCTCTCTATTCATGGTACTTCTGTTTTAAATATAAAGTTGATCTCTCCTCATGGAAGTACTGTTAGTTTTTTTTTCGGTTCAGTCACCTCAACTTTTTTTTCTGCATTGCATTCAGAATAGCTGGAGTTGCAGATGGGGGAGAAGTGAATTTATTGCCTCTGTTGTTATACCATGCAATTTCTTGGAAAAAAGGGAGGTGGGAAGAGTCAGGTTGCAGGTGGGTGACAGCTGTATCTGCAGCTGCATTGTGCTCAGCCCACCCGCAAGTAAAACAGTGGGCCTGGCAGAGGAGCAAGAGTGCTGCTTCACTTATTAATATAGCAAAGAAAATGTGGTGTAAAAAGAATGGAACCAATAATAAATGGATACGCAGAATTACTATACTTCTGAGAATTATCGTAAACCATGAGAGTACATCTTGAGCACTTCATAAACTGTATTCTCAGGAGATTTATAGCTTTGAAATCACTGTTGTGTGCCTGCTATGTTTATATATAATCCGTACAGTATTATGAAGCACAGTGTTTGGTTTAATTCGGATTTGGGTTCATTACTTTTGTTACCAGCAGATGTCATGGTGGTTAGGAGGGAGTCAATACTCTGCATTTGATAAGCGGCTGTATTCAGACTGAAGGATTCACATTTGTAATCACTGGATGACGATCCAGAGTTAACTGTTTCGGTGTCAGCCTGGCTCAGTTGTAACCCTCTTAATTCTGAGTCAGAAAGTTTGTGGTTCAAGCCCCATATTGGAAGTTTGACCTCACAGGTCAACTTTGGAACCCATATAGCCCACGCTAACGTTTCAGTGCAGTGCTAGAGGTATACTGTTTTGTCAGAGGCGTAGTCCGTCAGATGAGACATTAAACTGAGGTCCCATCTGTCTGTTCAGGTGGACGTTAAAAATACCATGTCACTATTTGAAAAGAGAAGGCAGTGTCTTCAGCTGTTCTTGTCAACAATCTGTCCAGATAAAATTGGTCATTCACTTCATGGGTGTTTGTGCTACATGTTGGACTTTACAACCTTGGCTATTCTTCCATTGGTGTTTGTGATGCATTGATGTGCATAAAGTGACTAAATCTATGTAGTATTACTATAATAATTAATAATAAATGATTGTTAATAATAATACAAGTCAGAAATTTGTGGCTTCAAGCCACTGAACTTTGACTCCTCATTGGAACTTTGACTTCACATGTCAATTTTGGACCTTATATAGTCTTGGCTGAGACCTCAAAAATAATTTTAGAAGTCAGCCCACACGAAGGAGAAAGGAATAGAGGAATATGAGAGAGGGAACTATGCAGAGGAAGTCTTGCTGATGGGAGCTGTGCTTCTAACACTGTGCATGTGCAGTACCTATAGGAAATGACATTGGTAATACTTCCTGCGCAAAGCGTGCAGGAAATGATTTGAGTGTTGATCTGACGACCCAGATGTTGAACTTGTTTCTAGCGCAGGAAGCCAGCTAAACAGCACCGAAAGTAGTTTCCTTACTCCACATGCCTGTTTACCTAGCAGTAGGTAGGAACATGGTTGTTAGTCAATTGGTGGATCGCTTTCCTGAGGGGTAATAAATTCTTCAAAAACGTAATAACCTTTTCAATCAATCCACGACTGTTTGTGGGACATGGCTGTGTGCAATTGGCTGCCAAGTTTCGTTAACAAAATATACAGTGAATCCACTTTACAATATGTTCTGTGAAGCACTTTGAGACGTCTCAAAGACGTGATAAGGCGCCATATCAAATGCAAGGATTATTATAAGGAATCATTATTATAAGTCCACATTGGAGTGAACCCACATTCAACTGGGACACATTCTATAGTGGCTGCTGCATAGCTGTGGATGTTTGTCTTGAAGTTTTGACCTGGTTTAAAGTCTTAGTACGTGACTCCTATCATTCTTTATTTCTCCAATGAAAACAAGTTGAGATCTGCATATCATTCCAATCCTTAATTCCAGGAATCATATGTTGTTATTCTCTAAATCTTTTATAATGTTTTTGAAAGTAGAGTGTCCCAAATGTTACAGAACATTTCAAATGTGACCTCACCATTGAATTAAACAAGGTTTGAATAACATCTTTCTTTTTATAGTTACATTTCTTTTAAGTAGATCCTAATCTTTGATATGTTCTGTTCATAACAGTTCTCCATTGCTTGGAAAGTTTCAGTGAACAGTTAAAGTCATATCCAAATTCTCTCACTTTAACAATTGGTAATGGACATAATAATAATCTTTACATGTAATATAGAACCTTTCATGTTGGGAGGGCACCTGAGTACGTCATGGGATTTATTGGAATGTGTAGTGAGTGTATTTTCTAGGTGAAAATGGTACATTGTACACACGATATCCCACAAACAGCCATGAAATGAATGGCCAATTTTATCTGAGGGATTGTTGGCCAAGACACTGGCAGAAACTCCCTTTCCTTTTTGAATAGTGCTATCTTTAACACGACTTCCACAGGCAGACAGGAAGTCTCATCCAAAGGACATCATCTTCAACAATGCATAACTCATCATCACTACACTGGAGTGTCAGCCTAGATTGTGAATTTAAAGACCCAACGAGGAGCTTGAACCTACAACATTTGGCTCTGAGATGAGAGTACTACCCACTCAGCCAGATCATACCTTTTTATTAAGTTCAATTCCTGCACAAGAATACATAAACTTAGATTACTGGATAGTCTGAGGCTTGTTTGAATGCTGCTTATCTCCTTTATGCCTGTGTGTTCCTAAACGAAGCATACAACTTGATTGGCAAATGATCATGCTCACGGAATGAGCCTACACTTCATCCAATGCAATAATTGTTTAATAACAAAGTGAACTGGAGGGAATGAAAGCAAAGGTAAAGAATGCCGATCTCCTTTCATCAGCCTCGAGAAGTCTCATGCAGATCTAATTTGTGGGTTGGGTTAACAACCCATGCGCAAAATCTGTAGGTTGGATCAACATGCTCAAGTGCCATTAATTCTGTATTTAAAAACTAATGAAAAGGATAATAGGTGAATTTAGGATGTTTTTCTGAACATTTGCTTTCAAAGGCACACATTACTCTATAAATAGAGGCTGGCAAATAATGATGCAGGGTAAGATCAAGCCAGTGATATTAATACTGTTTTATATAATCTTACATTAATATTAAAATTCAGATAATAGTACAGTGTCTCAAAACACATCTGCGATTTAGTAAAAAGTGAAATTGTAGCTGTAAAGTTTTTATATAGTCTATACTCACAGTTTAGGCTGACACTCCAATACAGTGCTGGGGACGTGCTCTATTAGTGGAGTTGCCGTGCTTCTGATGAGACATTAAATTGAGTTCCAGTTTGCCTGTTCAGGTAATGTTAAAGATCCCATGGCAGTACAATATTTGAGAAGTAAATAGAGCTTCTTCTGGTGTCCTGGCTGACAATCTCCAAATAAAATTGGTCATTCACTTCATGATTGTTTGTGGGGTGTCGCTGTGTGCAAATTGGCTGCCAGGTTTGTCTACAAAATACACAGTTACTACACTTTACATTAAATTCTGTGAAGCATTTTGAGGCATCCTCCTGGCATGAAATGCGGTATATCAAATGCAAAGATTGTTTTTATTGTCATTTTTACTTATCAATAACAAAACCCCAGCTTGTGACATTCACTTGGTGATGATTATCCTAATCGATTCAAAATATGTATGCTTTATGTCCTTGTACATTTCTCAACGCCAAACCTAATCACCAAAACAAAGGTGATGTCGCTCATAAAACATTCGGTTATATCATGCCAGAAAAATATATGCCATGAAGCTCCTCCCATTGTCATCTCCTTTCAGCCAGTGAAAAGGGTAACGTCCAAATAAGGTACAGTGCTCACAGGGTTCACTGCAATGGAAGGCCTTGGCTGTTGCAATCTAACTGAGATGTTACTTGTATATTTGTAATTGAAACCACTAACATAGCTCTAATTCATACTTCAATTGTTAAGGTTTTATTTTTTTAACCAACAGCCTAATATGTGGAGCTGGTGCATTGAAGCACACTGAACATGTAGTTATTTTGGCAGATGCTATATACAGTGTTGTGATTTTTTTTACTAAATGAAGGTTCTGCACTATTATGGTTATTTGCTTCATGAGCCTCTGATTCATGATAAAAATAGCTTTGAAAGTTAATAGTTCAGGAATTGCAACTTTCTTTAAAACTGCAACTTGAACTTTAACCTAAGGGAGTTGATTCTATAAAATGAACAAAATGTAGAGATGTGATGGAAAGACATCAACAACAAATTTCACGTGTATAGTGTCTTTCATGTCAGGAGGACATCCCAAGGCACTGGACAGTCAGGAGATCGGACCTTAGCTGTGGCTTGGGATCAGGAGGGGTAGAGGACAGGGAAGGTAGGGATAAAGACTTGAGACCAATCCAGCAACTGGAAAGCAGGGATCATAGGTGAGGTTCTGATGAAGAAGACCATTTGGCCCATTTGATCTCATTGTTTCAGAATACCCACCCTGCCAACTTCCCATCAAGATGGATATTTTTGTTTCATAATAACTCCAGTGTCCTGGCCTCAACCAACTTTCCCGAAAACCTGTTTCAATCATGAATTACTATCTGGAAAAGGAATACTTCCTGAAATTGC